TAAAAAAGAATATTGTTAAATAGTGTAGTAGAATTGTTATAAAATTATATGATTTTTTTTTACAATATGGATTTAATATTTTTTTATGATTTGATAATATAAACAAATCTATACTTAACTTTAACAAATAAAACAAATAAATACTTTAGTAAGTATTTAATGTATATACTAAATATGAATATATTTGGTATAATCAAATACCAAATATAATCAAATAAGTCAAAGTGTACATTTTTATTTGGTATTTGATTTTTTTATTATTAAAATATTTTTATTATACTTACCTTTTTAAAATAAAATAAATAAATAAATCAATTAAATAAATAAAATATTATAATACCAAAATAACAATGACATTTAATGCAGTTGACTTTTCTGGATAGTAAATGTAGTAAATAGAATCTCTTTTTATATAAGTATAAATATATTTTAATTAACTGTCACGTGGTGAGTATAATAATAATAATATATAATTTATTTAATCAACTGATTACGTGCATACTATAATAATAATAGTAATAAACAATGGATAGCACACGTTTTGAAAAGTTAAAGGCAATCAATCAATTCACATGAATTATAGGTGAGATTAATGAAAGGTGAGATAATATCCGTTCATTTATATAATCTAGTGTGAAAAGGACATAAAAATAGTGTGAAAAGGACATAAAAGTTACTAATTTTAGTAAACATTTAATGTAGACAAGATGTTGACTAAGAATTGACCTACTAATTTTGAAAAAGGTTAATTCTTATTATATAAGTATAGATTCTGATTATTTTATTTGGACAAAGGAGTTTTAATTTCATTTATTTCATATTTTATTACCTTATTGCACGGTAGTAAATTTTTTTTAGTGAATTTAACGTGTGAACCCTCGAATCACTTTGGTGGCACTCCATCCACATCTAAATGCAAAAGAGCATTTTATTCATATTTTTTTAAATAGATAACCTACTTCTAAATAAAAATATAAATCAAGAAAGTAATTTAAATAAAAGTATAAGTTTCCATATTTGTTACCACAATTTTTTGTGTGAGACAAGACAACTTAATTGCTAGACATTGGATTGTAATACATTTTTAATACAAATACATTCTTATACTATAAAATGTCATACCTTTATTTATATTATTAATTTTATGTTGTGTTTAAGAGTGACACGAGTTTAAACGTATATTTATTTAAGGAATAAGATTGGTCATATTTTTATTTATATTATTTTTAAGAGTGACATGAGTTTAAATGTATGCATATTTATTTAGGACTATGACTGTCTAACTGTAAGGCAAACTTAATCACTTTTCTAGTTTGTTATAAATGTAACATAATTTGACTCAGCCTAATAATTAGGCCATTCACATAGTATTTTGTATATTTGAAATTGAGTCAACTACCTTCAATTAGGTCAATGCTTCAACAATGCTGTTGTGGTTACATTTTTTAGCTTACACCCAAAATGACAATGGAAACAACCCGAAACCAAATTGAAATCGGCTAATCCTTTTATTTACATACACACTACAAATTTTGGTTCATATTTGATTTTATGCTCGTCTAATAAACAAGTCTGGCTCCGATTGTCCTTTTTAATAAATGAACAAAAGATTCGACTGTTTAAACTCGTGAAACCTCTGCTCGGTTCGATTTTTGTATTAAATTAAAAAACTCAAAACGAGCTATTCGCATATACGAACGTTCATTCCTAAACCAATTCATTCAACTGTTTCATTTAAAATTTATATATATAAAAAAAAAACTATCCATAAATAAATTCTATCCTTCTAACTAAATAAAGGAGTAAAATTGGAGTTGTAATGGGGTCCAATACAAGAGCCACCACTCAATTATTTGTCTAAACCCCTCTCCATAAATCACCCTCCCCCTTTTGAAACCCACATTTGCCTCTCCAAAAGCTGAAAGCCCCATTAGCAAAACCACTTTTAAACTTCCCCAACACACATACATCACACACACTGGCCACTGCCAATCCCCATTAATCAATCAATTAATAATGCTTATTCTTGTCGCCATCCAAGCATTATTCCTCCTCTCGCCGCCGCCGCCGGCGGCGGCTGCCGCCACCCCCACCTCCACCTCCTCCGGCCACGCCATCACATTCCCCCCCTACGAACACCTCAACGTCCAAGAATTCATCTCCGCCGCCACCAACCTCCGCCCCGCCGCCGCCGCCGCCGCCGGCGATCACCCGGAAAGCAAAACAACAGAGACGCCCATCCTCCCCAACTCCACCGTCAAACTCCAATTGGTCCACCGGGACCGCCTTTCCTTCCGGTGGCACAACAACCACCGCCGCCGCCTCGAAGCCCGCTTGAAAAGGGACCAAAAAAGAGTCGCCGGATTGACCCGCCGCCTCTCCGGCGGCGGCGGCGCCGACTCCGCCGCCTACTCCGTGTCAGATTTCGGGTCAGACGTCGTCTCCGGCATGGACCTCGGCAGCGGCGAGTATTTCGTCCGGATCGGTGTCGGCAGCCCGGCCCGGAGCCAGTACATGGTCATCGACTCCGGTAGCGACATCGTGTGGGTCCAATGCCAGCCGTGCAACGAGTGCTACCACCAGTCCGACCCGGTTTTCGATCCGGCCGAGTCCGCCTCCTTCTCGGGCGTCTCGTGCGGGTCCTCCGTCTGCAGCCGCGTCGAGAACTCCGGCTGCCACGCGGACCGGTGCCGGTACGAGGTCTCGTACGGCGACGGCTCGTACACCAGAGGGACCCTCGCCCTCGAGACCCTCACCGTCGGCCACACCACCATCCAGAACGTCGCCATCGGGTGCGGCCACACGAACCGCGGCATGTTCGTCGGGGCCGCTGGCCTGTTGGGCATCGGTGGCGGGCCCATGTCCCTCGTGGGCCAGCTCGGCGACCAGGCTGGCCAGGCCTTCAGCTACTGCCTCGTGAGTCGGGGCGGCAGCCCCGATTCACGAGGTTCGCTTGAGTTCGGGCGGTCAGTGCTACCTGCGGGGGCCGCGTGGGTCCCGCTGCTCCGCAACCCCCGGGCCCCGAGCTTCTACTACGTCGGGCTCTCGGGGCTCGGGGTCGGCGGGGCGCGGGTGGCCGTGCCCGAGGAGGCCTTCCGGCTGACGGAGCCGGGTTACGGAGGGGTGGTGATGGACACGGGCACGGCGGTGACGAGGCTCCCGGCGGCCGCCTACGTGGCGTTCCGAGACGCATTCGTGGCGGAGACCACGAACCTGCCGCGGGCGCCGGGGGTTTCCATATTCGACACGTGCTACGACTTGAACGGGTTCGTGACGGTGCGGGTGCCGACAGTCTCGTTTTTCCTGTCAGGAGGGCCGATACTGACCCTCCCGGCGCGGAACTTTCTGATCCCGGTGGACGAGAGGGGGACGTTTTGCTTTGCGTTCGCCTCGTCACCTTCGGGTCTTTCCATAATCGGAAACATTCAACAAGAAGGCATCCAAATCTCCTTCGATGCATCCAATGGGTATGTCGGGTTCGGGCCGAACGTCTGCTGATGGGGCGGCTTGGATCCGTGACCGTGAAGGGATATTTCGGGTCTAAAATTTTCGAATGAATATTATTATATATGGAGTATAAGTTAATTAAATATATGTTGTAAGTTAATTAAAGGACATGTGGGCTATATTATTGTAGGGTATGTTAAAATATATGATGGAATTGGGTAAAGGTTAAGATTCAGTCAGGCTGGGAAATGTAATGACAGTAAATAATGTTTGGTGGTGACCTTTTTCCCAATCACTTTAACTGGCAAAGTCTAGTTGAAGGATAGTTGCAATGGTGATGTTAGTAAGTAGGTTCTAAGCTTAAAAGTCAATTAGGGATGTTAAAAAATAAATAAATAAAATCAGTCGTTAGGTAGGTTAACCAACGAATAACACATGTTTTGTGGGTCGGGTTCAGATAGAATTTTAATACCCAAACAAAAATCCAATACCCTGACTCGACCTTAATCCAAATACTTACAAAAAGAAATTAATTGAAGAACTTTACTAACGTGAAAGAGTTCTGTAATAAGCCGAATTGAATCGAACATTATCCTTATCGAGCAAATATTAACTATTTCTTTTGGTGCTCGAGTTGAAAGAGCTCAACATTTTTAGACTCAAGTGGACTCATTATAAAATATAATAAAAAAGCAGACACTTGAGGTCGACTCAAAATTTCAATAAAAATTTTAGTTAGGGTATTTATGTAATGTTACTTACATTCGAGTGACTTGTCAAACCCTCGAGCATACAAACTACAGATTCGAGCTCAACTTGACTTTAAATTCGAGTTGTTAGAGTTCATCTCGAGCTCGAGTCGAACATTGATTTGAGCGCATGTGAGCTGCTCGATTCGTTTGCAGCTATAGATTTCCTTAGAGTGAGAGAATGAAAAAAATTGGTCATGGAGCTAATAATCAATTGATATGTATATGCTAGCATTGATAATTAGATTCTTTGATATGGTTATCAAAAGAATAACACGTGTGGGCTCGGCTTCAAATGTTGGAAAATTTCTAATTTGGCATCATATTAATTTAAAGGAGATTGAATCTTCCTTCACTAGAGGAGGTAAGGGATATTACTTGACTTGTATTGATGATTATTCTATATAGACTAGAAATAAATTTACTTTTAAGACATAACAAGTAAGTAATTGACATGCATATTTGTTTCTCAAAAATAAAAACATGAGTTGAAGTTGACAATATAAATATACAATATGGATCATACAAAATTTATTTTTTAAAAAATCAAGATAAGGGAAAATATACTATTGAATCTGATGGATTTCAAGAGTAAAAAATTTCATCTCATTAAGCTAAATATCCCACACAAACTGAATCCACATCCATACAAAGGTCTAGCTCTTTAACCCACAACAAAAGGCTAATGAATTATCCAGTGAAACAAAACAAAGCAAAGCAAAACAAAACAAAATTCAAAATCGAAAGCAATTAAGGACTTCTTTGTCTATAAGTTGATATCCTCACTCATCATCATCATCATCATCCTCATCATCATTTCCTGCAGCAGCATTCAAAGCATTCAACCTCTCGATCAACTTGGCCTTCCTCTCCTCGTATGTCAACTTCTTTAGGTTGAATCTGCAAAGGCATTCCAATAACCGTTGATTTATGCAGTCTGATCTCAAACAATGATCCACTCAATGATTATGTTTTATCTCTTATTATTAAAAAAAAAAAAAAAATCGAACCTCTTGTGCTCCGTAGGTTTCTGCTTTTGAGATTTCTTTTCTGTGGGGTCAGCACGAATGGCTGCATGGACCTTCTTGTACACAGCCTCAATGGCATCTGCTTCAACACCTTTCTTGATATACTGACTGAACACAGACTGATACTTCTCTGGCTCATCTTCCATCAAAGTCTACACCATTTCGAAATCACACAATTACTTTATGGCTTTGAAGGCCGTTCGTTAATCAAACACAGCTTATAAGGGTTTGATAGTTAGATTAGGACAACAAAAACCATATTCGAACCATGTGTAAAAACGGACAAAAATGGCAAAATCGGGGGGTTTACATTCATGTAAGCTGCAACATGGCCACCATAAATGTACTTGCGGTGCACTTCGGGATCGAGTTGCTTGTTGTCCTTGTTAAATCCAGCAAAACGTTTATCACTGTGAGGGATATCAAGCCCACCATCAAGAGCGCCCTGCATAAAAAAAAACATATATTCAAGAAAGGAAAGACAACTTTGTAATGAAGCCTGAATGAAAGAATAAAAAACAAAAAAAACATATTTCAAGTCCATCGAGATCAATTGAATGGAATCAACAACATAATATTGTCCAGTAGTCATACAACAAATTTGCTTTACGGGTATCCATCAAGTGGTTGCATAAAGCATATAACCGAAATTTCTATTTCTAATGAAGCCTAAATGTACCTTGAGTGCACCAAAGACTCGGTTTCCAGTTGTGGTTCTCAAAAGACCAACATCAAGGAGTGCTCGGAAGGGCCTCCTGCTTTCAGCTGGTTCCACAGAGTAATCCTCACCAGTGGCCTGAAAAAGGTAAAACACACATCAATCACACAACAAACATACAAACATTCACACCAAAACAGACATTACGAATGAACTGGGAAATGTTTTTACCTCAACATTTCCTTCATATTCTTGATCCATCTCGAGCTTTTTCAGTACTCGGCGAGCAAGAAGCAGCCCAGTGCAGTAAGCTAGTTCACAAGGGAATATTTCAATTTCTAACATCACTGAGAAAAAATAGGTTATTTTAATTTGTAGCTAATGAANGAAAAAAAAAAAAAAAATACCAGCAGAATAGTTGGTGAGGCCAACTTCAAGGCCATAACGGGGCAGCTCATGTGCATATGCAGCAGAGAGGACATGATCACCAGTGATGCTAGCAGATACAATCTGGGCAATTATATCTTTGTTTGTCTAAACCTTGTGTTAAGGTACTTCAATATATATTAACTCAAAATGAAGACAGAACAAAGAAAGTACCATAATAAAATGAAACCCATCATAGGTAATATATATAGCATAGAATATACAGCATGCCATGATTAACAATAGTGATCAATATGGTAGTGTATACAAGATCAAGGGAGAACAGGTGGAAGAAATTATAAATAAACTTGATTCACCATAATGTGAATATCAGGATACAAATCGCACAACAAATCGGTATTTCGGAGTGTTATACTTGTTCTTGTCCTGATTGATGAGACGAATTCTCGCTCTGTAGTCAGTCTTCCCCTCTGAATTGGAAATTATCAAAGTCATTTAGCTGCAGAACTAAATAAATGGGAAAACAAGCAGTTACTGGTGTTTTACGTCTTCTTCTCTTGAACTTGACTTGGAAACGCTTGAAGTAGGCATTCGACTTCTGGGCTTTGACAAATGCCTGCAAAAAAAAAATAATAATAATCATCCATCATCAGCAAATACAACATTCATAGAAACATATTGGTTTAAACCGTCAGCATCCAACACTCAGCAAAGCAAAACTATATAAAAAATGCAAACTTTCTAAGGCAGAATCCGACAAAAAAAAATGAAAATGCTCAACAACATCAACTAATCTTAAAACCCTTTTTTTCTAAGCCAACNAAGGCCAGGTGAAAAGGAAACCATAGATTTTTCAAATGTCCAGATCTTTCAAGAGAGAACAACAGTAATAAAAAGCCAATCTTTTCCAACTACAAACAGAGCTAAGGTACTTCAGTAAAACATTATGAAATCAAGCTGCCTCGAATCAACAACCAAGATTACCACAGCTTAAATCTGCAAGAACATAGAATAAAACACAACCAAATGCGGGTTGAAACTAAACCAGTAGCCCGGCCATATCTAAAAACCCACTAACATGCGGTTTTTCCACAACAATGAATCTCAATAATAAACAGAAAACGAGAGAGAGATAAACAATGCTAAATGGGAAGCAACATTTTCTCACCATTGCTCCTTGCTCGATTCGGCTCTCGGAGAATTCAACAAATGGCCTGGGGATAACCAGAAAAAAACTGCGTGAGTTTTGAGACACAAAATAAGCAAAACCCTAGAGGCAAAATGGGCTGAATTTGACGGCCAAGACAGATCCAAATTAGGCAAGCCCATGATTTTGGCTTACAGTTTTGATTGATATGAAGTATGACCCAACTTTCTATTGGGCCTTAGGAGAAATACAGCTCCAAAGGGAGCCTCGATACACAATTGAGTTTTCGTTTAATTAAATTTATCAGTTAATATTATGTCTTACTTAAATTAAGTCAGAATTGAAAAAACTATGAATTAAATTATCAATATTTCAGTTTTTAAGTAGTTCAATGTAAGAATAACTTATTGGAAATTTAGTATCACATGAATATTCCACAATCATCCTAATGATATGTACTCATTTCAATCAATATATACACAATTTCAAGGCAAAGATTCAATATTTATGTCAACTTTTCCCTTAACCTTTTTATGGCATTGGCGATGTGGTGTGCCTCAACTTGGACAATTAAATAAAATGAATAGTTAGTGAGCTCAGTTCGAATTCTAGACAATCTGAGATGAAGCGTTAAGGTTTATTAGACAAAAACAAATGAGTTTTTTTTACGCAATTTTTTAAATTATTATTATTAGTTTACCTCAACTCATTAAGATTTACGTCGGCTAGTTCATAAACAAGTTCGGATTGGATCAACAAATACAATATTTAGGTGTATTAATTGCTCGGCCTCGGCATCCTATGAAAATCTTTGTAACAGAAAATAAAAATAAAAAATAAGGAAGCATCTATTACTTTTTGTCTTGGTCTGCTTGCCAATTTTCTACGACAAAATAAGGAAAATTCTTGTACAATATCTTATCTCATCCTTTTTTACTTAAAAAACAAGTTTCGCATGTAGTTTGGTTTAGGGCAAGAAAAAGTACTGTTATTAACCTATCTGTCGTCGCGTGATAAAAGGGCTTTTCTATAAATATTTTTTCATCTGTAGAGAAAAAACACATTTTCATGCACTCTCAAAATAGAGCTAGAGAGAAGAATCTATATCAGTTCACATTTGGCCATAGATGGAGAAACTTGAGATGCACGAAAATATATGTAACGTGCTTAATTTTATTTTATAAAATGATTGATTGGCCAAGGATGAGGTCAAACTTTTTGTTGAACAAAATATTATTAACATTTATATTGTTTGTTCTTTTTATATGGTTTTCGCTATATGTCGATCTTTCGTCACGGGCTGAGTAGGTTTACGAATATCTCTCCATCTGGTTGAATTCTTGAATCGAACTTGTCATAAAGGGACACGTGTCCAATAAGAAATAATATATTATCCAGTTCGGATATCAACACAACTATAATTCAATAACAAAAGTAGAACGTGTCATAAATCAATTGCCACGCCTCCATCTATAGGAATATAGCTATAGTTCCACTATTCGATGCTCACGTCCCATGACCTTAACCACACACAATCATGCATAAATCTCCCACCCAAAAACCTCACATTTCCACCCCTTACAAGAACTTTCAACTTCTCACTAGCATTTATTTAGCTAGCCATGACTATTCTTGTTGCATCCCTACCATTTCTCCTCCTCCTCCTCCTCTCCACCACCACCACCACCACCACCACCGCCCGCCCAACGAAAACACTCCCCACCACTCTTCCCCTGAGCACGAGGCTTCCCTTGGTCAACTTGGCCAATTTGTCCGGCTCCGAAGCCCGTATGAGAAGGGATGCCATCCGCACGTCCGCCTTGGTCAACCAACTCTCTGGTAGCCCTAAGACCGAGTTAGGGCTTCTCCGGGGTGAGGTAGCCGTGATAGTCGGCATCGGAACCCCGCCCGTGAAACAAACCCTAGTATTGGACACGGCTAGCGATCTCCTGTGGCTGCAGTGCAAACCGTGCGAAAACTGCTTCGTGCAGCCCGACCCGATGTTCAACCCTGCTATGTCCACCTCGTTCCACGTAGTCCCCTGCTTGGGCTCGGGCGACCTAGACGCCAACTACTGCGGCCTGCTCGACTGGTGTCGCCCAGGCTGCGATGCCGACGGCCGCTCGTGCACGTTCGCCTACTCGTACGCGGACAAGTCCTACTCAAGAGGAACCCTAGCCCTCGAGACCCTAACGATCGGCGACATGGAGATCACCAACGCGATCGTCGGCTGCGGCCAATCAAACAGTCTCACGACGAGCGGGGTCGACGGGATCCTCGGCCTGAGCAAGGGGTCCACTTCGATCATGAGCCAGTCAGCCAAGGTTGTCGGCCAAATGTTCAGCTACTGCCTAAGCGGCAGTGGCGGAACAAACGGCGGTGGGTGGCTCGAGTTCGGTCGGTCTGATCTTCCCTCCGCCGCGGCCGCGTGGGTCCCGCTCGTCACCAACCCGAAGATTCCGTCGTTTTACTACGTCACGCTCACGGGGATCGGCGTCAACGGGGAACGGGTGCCGGGAGTGACCGCGGACACGTTCCAGATATTGGAAGGGGGTGACGGAGGGGCGATAATCGACACGGGGACAACAATCACGAGGCTTCCAGAGGGCGCCTACGTGGCGCTACGAGACGCATTCCAAGCGAAGATGAAGGGCGCGGCGCCATTGAATTACTCGTTCTTCGACACATGCTATCAGGTGAGCAGATCGGAGACAATACCGACTGTCTCGTTGTACCTATCAGACGAGCCGAGCCCAAGCATTACGAGCAAGTGGCCAATGTTCGAGGTGGAGCAAAGCCTTAATTGCCTTGCGTTCGCCCCAACACCGCCGGATTCGAGCCTAACCATAATCGGCAACATTCAGCAACAAGGGACTCGGATCACCGTCGACCTGGGGAACAAGAATATTGGGTTGGGGCCCGATGTTTGCTGAAGGATTTAAAAAGTCATTTATGTTTGAATTTGGGCATAGTTATGCATACAAATTACGAACTAACAGTTTTTTACTTGTGCTCAATTTATGAGCCCTGCCCATTTAGATTTTTTCAATACAAGACCCGAAAGATGGGTAAACTATTAAATCGGACCTAAAAATATTATTTTTCTCGATTCGGAACTTAAATGTTATAAAACTATCAAATTTAAGTCATAGAATTAACAAAACTCATAACACCGTTAAATTGAGAGTTAAAAAAAAATAGAAAAAGAAAAGATTGGTGCTTACTCACATAAAATAATAAGTAAACATTCGCATAATATTTAAAAAAAAAAAAACAGAAATAGACGATAACAAGAAAACCGAACAAGAGCTTCATACTTTCCTTAATTTTCTCCAACAATCTCGTTATTTTCGCTAATTTTCTTTATTTTTTTTTATTTTTTTTTACTTTGTAACATATTTGGTGTTATGAGTTTTGTTAATTCTAGAACTTAATTTGATAGTTTTATAACATTTAGGTCCCGAATTAAGAAAAAAAATATTTTAAGCCCCGATTTGATAATTTACCTATCTTTCAAGTCTTGTATTTGAAAAAACTCATCTATACTTATATAATAAGAATTAACATTTATCCAAAATAGTAGGTCAAATTATGGTCAATGTCGGATTTGCATTAAATATTTTCCAAAATTGGTAAGTTTTTATCTTTTTCACACTTCTCATTAATTATGTCATTTTCACACTTCTCATTAATTATGTCTTTTTCACACATCTAATTAAATCATTCCATATGAGCTTTTATCGTTAAAATGTATAGCGATCTGTTATGACCTTATCCCATTGATATTTCCATGAAGCGTCCTTATCGCGTTCTATTTTTTGGTAACCATTCTATATCAATAACCGGATATTTGGTTAATGATAGCACACGTCTTTATTTCAAGGAGCGGATATTCTTTGACCTTTAATTAATCTGAACTGATTGCCTTGACTTTTCAATTTTTACAAACTCTGTTTTTAAAAACTCTTTTTTTATCGCACATTGGTTTTTCCTGAAGAAACTCGTTTTTAGTCACGACTAATTATATGTTGCTGCTTCGCGTGTAAATAATAGAAGGGGGTTGAAAATATTAGTTTGTGATATTGAGGAGTTACTAAATAATCAAACTCATAATGTTGTGTACAAGGAGGTTTTTAATAATTTATGATTGTTACCGAACTTTTTATGATTCAACAATGTTCCTATGTATTTTAATGATTTCAATTTCGATCCTAATGCACGTGAGATTATATTATTCTTCCAAATTTTACATCCCGTGCATCGCACGGGTTACGTACTAGTTTAGATTAATATAAACTACAAATAAAAGTAGAATTTAAAAAAAATGAAAAAAAAAACAACTAATTAAAGATCCGCTTGTTTTTGTATTCTATATCATGTTTCTTTTTTTTTGGATGAATAGCAGGGTGTGGTTCTAATAAAAACCCTTCTTAATGAGAACTAAGAACCAATCCTAATCCTTTATTGCACCATAATCAATGGTCTAAATTTAAGGACAAAATTATATAATGACAAGCAATTAAAGTATTATAGAAAACTCAAATTATTAGAAATCCTACCTTAGTTGCAATTCCATATTTTAGGGATGTCATATCAGCTAATATAAGGAAACTCACACTCGTTCAAATAAATTGATATACTACAAAAGATGATGATGATGTTATTTTTAGCTTATTGTGATACTATCAATCCTATTTTACATTGCTATATATTATGATTATTATTATTAGAAAAAAATTTTGTTATTTAAACGAATTGTAATGCTAATGTTCCCCATTATAATGTTGTTAAATATTGTTTGCATTGCAATCTGATTTGTTAATATGCTAACTTATGTAATCTCTTTTAATGTAAAAAAAATGTCCACTAGGAATACACCCTTAGTCGAATAATAACTAAGTTTTAATTTAAGAAACATAAAAAAAGCAATTTTTAATTGCATATAATGCTACATTTTAATTATGTTTGTTGCTATTATTAATAATATCTAAAAAAACAACAAAACTATATATATAACTAATATTTATATAAATAATAGCATTCTATGGTATTAAAAATAGCACCATAAATAACTAAAAATAGCATCATATAGTTCTCATGATTGTCGCACCAAGCATTATTATTACTATTATTTAAAATCTACCCGTAACAAGTAAAATTAGATGATGTATTAATTTGAAATTTGACACGATCCATTCGAATTTTGACTATTATAATATAAAAAATATTTCGAATTAAAAATAATTAGATTCTTTTATCAAAGTATCCAATTAACATAGTAAATATTTTAAATATATTTTTTTGTTTACTCCAATTCAACAGCTAATTTTCTAGTTAAATTTTAAACAAATTTATAACGTATGTCAACTCTTACTTCATTATTTTTTTCTAGAATAAAAGAATCACAAAAGGTATTTATTAAAATTATCACTATATACTTGAACGAGCATAGTTCAATTAAAAAAAAGGTAAATAATAATAATAATAATAATAATAATAATAATAATAATAATAATAATAATAATAATAATAATAAACCACCCCACCCCATCAACGTTGATTTTATGCATATAATATTCTGTTAATTATGTTTCCTCTTACTGCTAGTAATGGGGTTCTCACCTTAAAATTATGTGAAAGCACAAATAAATTAAAGGAAGAAGTAGACAAAACATTGGTGACAAAAAAATTGGTACAATGGATATGAAGATTTAATTATAATAACGTGTTAGATAACTTACCATAGCTGCTTCATTATAAATTAGACAAAAATACCATATCCATCATTCATAGAATTTTAATCAAATCTATATATATATAATTGCTCGCTAAGCAATAAATTTTACCTAATAAATAAAACCTAATAAATTTTACCTATGTGGCAAATCATTAATAAAACCTAATAAATTTTATTTATGTGGCATTAATACACCCAATCTCATTAATAAAAAAATATTTCATTACATTTTTTTGGGTTAATTAAGACAAAAATCATTATATTTTATGTTAATTGATTAATAATTATATTTTTTTAATGAATAATATAATAGTTAATATTAAAATTAGTAACTATATTTTATACTAATATATGAAAGTTACATAAAATTATATTTTACACTAAAATCAATATTTTTTTATATGATGAAGATGTTGTTTATTAATAAACTAATTTTTTGTATGTTATAGTAAAATTTCTTAAAATCACATAAGCAATTGTTATAATAAATGTAATATTTTTCAGCTAATTAATTGGTTATGATCACTCAAAATTATAAAAAGTAATATTTACTGCATTTTATGCAATCAATATAGTGATTCGTATACAATCAAATCGTGTGTACTATTTATTGTAACCAATGATCAAATTTTAAAATATAATACTATTATATAATTTATAATTTTAATATTATATATATAAATATAATTTATAATACTATATGTTTGAAATATAATACAATTTATAATTTTTATTCACATCTGTGCAAATGCACAAGGTGGAATACTAGTTATGTTAATATATTAAGTTCAATCACAACCATTAATATTAGTTTATTTAAGGGCTAAGATGAGTTCTTAATTCTTACACTAGGGAGAAGTTCTCATTTGAACTCTTTTCTATATATAAGGGCTAAGACAAAAATTTGAACTCTTTCCTATATATAAGAAAGAGTTCAAATGAGAACTTCTCCCTAGTGTAAGAACTAAGAACTCATCTTAGCCCTTAAATAAACTCATCTTAGCATAAAATCTTATACATATATATTTGTGTATATATATATATATATCATATTATAAATATAAATTTAAATTATTTCTGATAATTTTAGTTAATGATTTAAATTTTATTTTATTTTTTTAAATTTTTTATCAATTTTCCTTTCAGTTGTACAATATAAAATTTAAATACCTAATTTTTAAATGTTATATTATTAACTAGATTATAAAAAATAAATAATTATATTTCAATATTTATTCCAAAAATAATACAAATTTTTTTATAGATATTTTATAGCTAAACTTTATTAATAAATTGTTAGTTAAATTATATTTAATTGTGGAATTATTTTATCTATTTTTTACACATGAAACGGGTCGAGTCGGGTTGGGACCAAGTATACCCCAAATTTAAGAATTTGGGTTACCCGTTTACTCGACGACGACCCGATAACCCGATGGGTAAACCCGAACCCGAAGTTCACTAATGGGTAACGGGCCGGGTACGGGTAGGGTAAATTATATGTGGGTTGGGTTCGGGTTTGCCAAAACCCGCACCCGACCCGACCCATTTACATCCCTTTATTTGCCTTATTGTAAAGGTGAACTAATTATGACATATGGACATTTTTTTTCTCTTCTTTGAATTTGAATTCAAGATCTTTAATTTCTTTTATATTCCATGTGGAAGATCAATTTGGTAAAAGATTAATTATTTGAATTTTGACAATCTTTTACTTTGTTGTTAAAAAACAGGCAATTATTTTCAATTTTCTTGTTGAAGACAAGATAAGAAAAAAATTGGAAATAAAAATTGTAAATTATTTCCCTATCAATACTTGTGACTTATAATATTGGTCTTGTTTGGCAATCAGCGGTTAGCGGTTAGCTGTTTGCGGATTGTATCAGCTGTTTTGACCAACGGATTATGTCAGTTGTTTTGACCAGCGAATTTTATTAACGGTTTGTAAAATAGTGTTTGGTAAAATTAGTTGTTTGTAATCAACATAATGTTTGGTAAATTAGTAGTTTGATATTTAACTGATTACATTTAAAAGTTAAATATAAAAATTCATATAATTTAATATTTTTCTTTATGTTATAATAATAATTATTTTAATATCTCAAATAAAATTTTGTAGTATACATCACTATATATATTTATTCATATTTTGTTTAGGGAATTGTGAAAAACACAATAAAAAAAATCCAGTTGAAA